TAAATATATAAACATATATTTGTTTCATTATAAAAAATTATATTCTTTTGCTTATAAAATAAAAATGTTATCGCTTAAATTGCGATGATAATCCCATTTTTGTATATTTATAATATGACAGTGATATGACATTTTCAAAATTCATTGACGAAAGAATCATTTTACACAGAATGTTCCACAAATACTGGAACATCCGTAAATTGAAGATTCCTAAATTAATTTCAACATTTTTCTTTGCATAAACTTTCGTTACGGCTTTGTTAATGAGTTATTAATAAAAAACATTGGCCAATCACGTAGCGCATAACCTAATCGAGTCGCGACAATAATATTGATTATGTACTAATAGCATAAACAAAGAGCATAAACAAATTCAAGCAATATATTTCAAAGAAAATGTGTTAAACTAAATGTAATAAATATTTTTTTATCAATAAAAAATTATATCAAATTATACTATGAACAATGAATAAATAAATAAATATAATATTTAACACATTTTTTTAACACTTTATTCCTCGAAAAATGTAGCCTGGATTTATTCGTGCTCAGTCGGTAACACGTAATTAATGCTATTATTATATGTTCCATATAAACATAATAAAAATTTTTGTAAAAGAAAATGTTGCTTGAAATTATTTCAGAAATTTCCAATTTACAAATGTTCCAACATTTTTGGGACAACCTTAATTAATTGTTCTATTACTGTAGAATTGCCGAATGCGGACAATACATTCTATCATTAAATATGATTCAATTTCTTTTCGGTTAATTTTTTCTGCAAAAGAAGAAACAAAATTTTAGCCAAATGTTAGAATAGATGTTAGATTAGACAAAGACATGACATGATGCGATACTTGACTTTGATGAAAACTATGTAACATATTTCTAGTTTAATAACAATGAGAATAATATGTCATTATATATTTTCCTTCTCTGAAAATTTGTCGGAGAAAATTGAACGATACAGGGAATACAGCATCTTTATCTTCATTATATATATTATATAATCTTTGATGAGAATTGAGATTTTAAAAATTCCCTTTTGAAAAAATGATGTTATAATCTCTTTCTATACAAATATAATATAATATAATATAATATAATATGATTATAATGTGATCTGCAATTATTGTATGCATAATGCAAATCGATATAAAAATAATAAAGTATAAAATAATGAAATATAAAAAAAAATTATCAAAAAAAAAGTTTCTTTGAAAATATATATTTGAATGTATTTATCAATTATTAATATATTTTTATTATTAATATAATTATAAATTTTATATAATATATAATATAAAGAAAAAGTTAAGAATTATTTATTGTATATAAAAATTCAAATTTTTCAAGAAATAGACATATATTATTTGAAATAAATTGTCGATATATTAAATTTTTTTTTTTTAATTTAAATTTAAATTGATACATAAGTAATCAAAATCTTATTATTTATTACTTAAATATAAAAAAATATATAAATAATATACATAACAAAAAATATGTAAATAATTTTAAAAACTTGTAAAAATCAGCACAAAGCATAAAACTTGTAAAAAAGCACAAGCATAACTATTTCCATTCTAAATTTAAATAGTGCGGCGCGTTTGAAAATCGTAATATATAAGCGACATAATTCTTATCTTCATTTGTATATAATATGAATTATAATATTATACAAATACAATGATTTTAGCATATTTTCCTTAAGACGGCAACTTTAACGGAATTCAAAGTCGATTTGATTCTCTGATATTTTAAGATTATTTTATTCTCGATATGGTGAAAATAATATCGTTATATTTTTGGAAGAGTTGTTGTAATAAACAAATTACTAGTAATTTTAAATTTATGAAATAAAGATGTTAGATTTCTTAAACGAATATAAGAAATTAATAATATCTATTTCTATTTATGAAATATATTAAATATTAAATTTAAAAATTATTTAGCGAGAAATAAAATGAAATAGATTTTGATAAATATATATTTTTTTTTTATATAAAGATATTAAAAAAATATATATATCAATGTTTTTTGAAGGTTAATTTTAAACATCAAAATGATGAAAAAAATTCATATATGTATATAAATATGACTATTACTTATGTTGTAGATTATATCAGATATTCAACTTTTATTGTAATAAAAATATGTATTACTAAACTTATTTATTTTTGTCAATATAATATTTATAAACAACAATAATATTATATATAATAAATAATAGTAAACAATAATATAATAAACAAATAATGTAATATTGTTGGCGATTTTTGCCAAAATTATATTTCTGGTATGTAGTGTTGTAATATATGTGATTTTAGAAATTTAAGATTATTAGAAATATAAATTCATTGAAACATAATTTTTAGCCTTCATCTATATTAAATCTTAAATGTGACAATAATTTTAATAATAAGTCAATGAAATTTAAAATTGACAATAATTTTAATAAAAGAAATTTTCGAAAAAAGTATATTGAATATATTATAATTCATTTATTGTTCATAATTTGATATTTGATAATTCGATAATTTTTTATCAATAAAAAATATTTGTTATATTCAATACTTTCTTTAATTTATATATATTGCTTGAACTTGTTCATGTTCGGTTGATAGTTTATAATCAATTATTTTTGCAACTATATATTATTGGTATTTTTTTTTGTTACTAACTTATTAACAAAATTATTAACAAAGTCGAAACGAAACTTTTTATAGAGAAAAATATTGAAATTATCTCAGAAGTCTTCAATTAACGAACGTCTCTACATTTTTGGGATATGTTGTTTATATATATGTTTGATCTTATCTTATTTAGAAAAACATTAAAAAAGTTTTATTAAGAAAAAATTATAAAATTTCATTATTGCAATTTTATCTTATTGATATGTTTATTTTGATTATTTTTTTCTTATTCTTTTACTTGCTATCCCTTGCTAAATTTTTTAAAGATATAAAAAAAAAAATTCGAATTTTAGAATTTCCAGTTATATTGAAATTAAGAATCAAAAGATTAATTTGATGACGCAAATGACGGTTATATTACTCATATACGTTTCTATTGAATAACAAATTTATTTTTTATGTCACAAATAATGTTATGCCAATAAAATTAAATAAGAAATATTATGCCAAAGTAAAAATTGTCTAGAAAAATTATTATTATATCCTAAATGTTTTGAAACTTTTCATTTGTTTTAGAATTTCGTTTAGAACTTGACTTCATTTTACTTTTTATTTATGAATGTAATTATTTTTTTTCTAATAAAGATTAATATATATTTAAATAAATATAAAAAAATATAATTTTTTTTCATAAAATTATTCAAAAAATATTTTTATATACTATAAATTTTTTTTTTAAAAGCCAAGTTAAGTAATTAATGATTATAATGACTATAATAATGATTATAAATTATTTTATAACTTTTTTTTCAAAAAACTAATAAAATATTAATTAATCTTTAATACTAAATTTTTTTATACTTAATATTAAATTTTAATATTTTTTATGACAATATAATTTATAAAATCTATGAAAAAAATATTTATTTATTTTATTCTTGTGAATAAGAAAAAAAAATTAT